AAAAAAGGGAGAGAGAGAAAGAAAAAGGGAGGAAATTGCCTCCAAGAATACAAGACAATTCACATGTTGCTTCTGAATGTCCTCCGATGCTGATCAACAGAGAACTATAAGAACTGCATTTTTAGTAACAATATATTTAATTATTTGTCTAAGCTACTTTTCAGAGTGAGCTAGTTATTACACTAACAATATTATAAAAACCATAGTCTCCTATTCAAAAAGAATGGCTCTAGGTTAATTTAACAAGTCTTATTTTTGTAAACAAGCATGAAGTTTAAATGCACTCTGTGTAACATAAACTTGATATTAGAAAACATCTTATTGTGTTGTTAGTCACTGTAGAGTTGATTCCAATGCATGGCAATCCCATGTGTGCAGAGTGGAATCGCTCCCCAGAGTTTACAAGTCTATGACCTTTTGGAAGCAGACCACCAGACATGGCTTCCAAAGAAATCTCTGGGTGGGTGCAAACAGCCAACCTTTCAGCTGGTAGTCAAGCGCTTAACTGTTTGTGCCACCCAGAGACTCACTGACATCTAATTAAAGATGGCCAAATAAATCAATAATGTTCACAAAACGACAAAAACAAAGTATGATGTGATTGTTTTCCATCGGTGTTGGTTATCTTGCAAAATGATAGGCAACATCATACTTGTTTTCACATTTACAGTCACATGTATTACACTGAGAAGGACTGCCATATCCTTGACATTACCTGCAAACTACATGCTATAGTGGTGGAGGTGGTGTGGAAGCTGAGGACCCTGGACCAGCAAGGTTGGAACTGGAGTTCCAGACTGGCTGTTTCCTATGTTCCTCTAAGAGCATTCATGTGGACACGTGGTTCATTGCTCTGACCTACCACTGGACTAAAGTTCCTTGGTTTATATGATGGCTGAGGGGCAATGCTTGTGCAAGAGGAGCTCTGAAGAATATCTGCTGACACAAAAACTCTTGCTGAGCAAAGGGCTGCTGATCCTGAAAGGCTTCTCATTGGGGATTGCGGGAATTTGGTATTCTGGTGGCTTACTGGACAACCATTCTGCTAGAGTCAAGAGCTGAGTTAAAGAGTTGTCAACCATGAATCTTGGGGAGGTCTCTTAGTGTGCCAACAGTGGGTGTGGTTTTCACCAGACTTTCATAGGATTAAGTCTCAACATTTGGGAATTCCTTGGTGAAACCATTAAGATAGTCTGGTTTCTGAATCACCATGGAAGACGGATTCGTGCTCTTTTGCTACATCCCAGAGTGTTCGTTTTCTGCTGTAAAATCCCCCACATTTTTTTGCTGCCCATGGAAGACTTAGTATCTCTAACTGGTACCATCTTATGTTCGTGCCTTTGATGCTAGAACAGAGTACTTCAATCACTTCAGTGGAAGGAACACAATTCACAAGTGTGTGGTTTTTCTCCAATATGGGAACACACATGGGCTTCCAGATGACATTCATAAGCAGATGCCAATGGACATAGAATTCTCCCTTGTGTGGATTCTAATATATTCAATAAACTGGGTGATTCCTTGGTTGGCATAGTTGCAGTACCAACACTTGAGCTTCCCATCTACTTTCAAACCCATTTACTAACACGTCTGAGTTTCCATCCAGAGAACCATCAACAGATGGGTGATCAAATCCATTTGAATCATCATCTGTTTCAGCTCCCCAGAAGCCTCTTCTTCTTGGTCTGTCCCCCAAAATCATGACTTATCCAGAAATCATGTTCCCATGATGAGACTGCTGAATTAAATATTCCTGAAAAATCTTTCACAAAGTCAAAAGACTCTGATTTATTCTCACCTATTCTTACTTATTTTTGAAATTTACAGCTCTTGATGTCTGAAAAGGAACCCTGGTGGTTAAGTGTTGAGCTGTTAACCAAAAGGTCAGAGATTCAAACCCACCAACCACTCCAAGGGAGAAACATACGACTATCTGCTTCCATAAAGCTAGAGATCCTCAGAAACCCTATAGCTCTATTCTGTCCTATAGGGTCCTTACGAGTCAGAATTGACAGAGGGTTTGGCTTGGTTTTTATGTCTTTAAAAAAACTTTCCACCTCAAATCAGTTCCTCCTTTTCCTTGTCACTCCAGCATTGATGAGTACTGGAAATTTACTCTGGAGGCACATAAAAAAGCCAAGGAGAGAATTTCAACTAAAATTGAAAAGTCATGCAAAGGTCTCCTGATATCTGTACCGGGTAACCCCTATCCCCTTGCTGGACATTGCTATAGCCATGTTTGTTCCTTTACTGGCCCCTTGCTTTGCCCAAATCTAGCATGAGTAGGACATAGGGTAAAAGTGGATGAGGAGCCATACATTCCTTTGTAATTAATGGCTGAGTAGTATATGGATTGTATCTCAATGTAAATTGCACCACTGGACCAATAAACAACATTCTTATCAACAGAGAAAAGATGAAAGTTGTCAAGGACTTCATTCTTCTTGGATCAACTATCAACACTCATGGTAGCAGCAGTCAAGAAATCACACAATGTATTGCATTAGGCAAATCTACTGAACAAGACCTTTTTAAAGTGTTGAAGAGCAAAGATGTCAGTTTGAGGACTAAGGTGCACCTGACCCAAGCTATGGTATTTTCAATAACCTCATATGCATGTAAAAGCTGAACAGTGAATAAGGAAGACCGTAAAAGAATTGATGCTTTTGAGTTATGGTGTTGGAGGAGAATATTGAAAGTGCCATGGGCTGCCAAAATAACCAACAGATCTGTGTTGGAAGAAGTACAGCCAGAGTGCTCCTTGGAGGCCAGGGTGACCAAACTTCATCTCTCATACTTCAGACATATTGTCAGGAGGGACCAGTCACTGGAGAAGGGTATCATTTTTGGTAAGGTGAAGGGTCAGAGAAAAAGAGGAAAATACCCCCCGCGAGATCGATTGGCAAAGTGGCAGCATTAATGGGCTCAAGCGTGGCAACAATTGTGAGGTTGGCCCAGAATCAGGCAGTGTTTCGTTCTGTTGTGCACAGAGTTGCTATGAGTCAGTACTGACTCAATGGTGCCTAATAACAACAACAGTATATTCATAACATTTATAGCCCCATTAGTGGACAAATAATTTTTCAGTGCTATAAACACAAAGGAACTCTGGTAGCATAGTGGTTATGAGTCAGGCTGCTAACCTCAAGGTCAGCAGTTCAAAATTACCAGCCATTCTGCAGGAGAAAGATGAGGCTTTCTGCTCCCATAAAGGTTTACAGCCTTGGAAACCCTATGCAGGGTTGCTCTGAGAGTCAGCATCGACTCCAAGGCACACCACCACCACCATAAACACAAAGCAGGAGTGGAAAGTCTGGTTCTGGAATGTGGCCTGATGTTTAACCAAATTCATCTGTCCCACTTTAAACAACTAATCCCTTTGATACTGAAGTCCAGGATCTAATAAGAAATACTTATTTCATTTTTTTTTTTTTTTAATAATGTTAGGTGCCATTGGTTCTGACTCCTATGGACCTTACGTACAAAAGAACTGAACACTGCCCCGTCCTACACCAGACTCACAATTGTTGCTATGTGTGAGCACAAATTACAGCCACTGTATAACCCACTTCATTGCAGCTCTTCATCTTTTTCATGGACCTTCTATTTTTCCAAGTATGCTGTTTTTCTCAAGAGACTGGTCCCTCCTGAGAATACGTCCAAAGTACATGCGATGAAGTTTCGCCTTCCTCACTTCTAAGGAGCATTCTAGCTGTAATTCTCCTGGCAGTGCCTGGTCTATCCAATATTCTTCCCACAGGGTCACGAAGCTGTAAATCTTTATGGACATGTTTCTCCTGCAGAGTGGCTGGTGCTTTTGAGCCATCAACTGAGCACTTAATCACTGTGCCACCAGGGCTCCTTAAAAACAACAGTGACAACATTCAAATTTAACAATTCCTTTTTAGCTTCTACCACACAACACCTCAGGCCAGTTACGGAAGTGTGACATCTAGAAAGCACAAACCCTTGATACTCAGTGTTGTCCACAGACCACCAGCACTAAGTTGCTAAATGATGGTTAGAAGGTCAAGTCCACCCAGTGGCACCTCAAAAGAAGGTCTGGCAATTTACTTCCCCCCAAAATCAGCTATTGAAAAGCCCACAGAGCACAGTTCTACTCTGACACACATGACTCATAACAGGTGACCCCAGACCTGCTGAATCCAAATCTTCCTTTTCTCAAACTCTGCAGGTGATTTGCAGTCACATTCAAGTTTGAAAAGCAGTAATATAAAACACAGTCCTGGTACTAAAGTCTAGGGCACAGTTTAAGTTACACACAAAGATCTCCTTTAACAGTTCTAAATTATAATAAACAATCTCAGCAAACGTTTTCTTTTGGGTGAAAGGGAGGGAAGAAACTTTATTTTATGTGGCCAGCAGTACTGGTCTGTGGTGGATTCCTAGGAGGTCATGCTTCATCTAATAGGTCAGTGCCACCAGTTTAGAGACCTCCATGTTCCAGCTAGGGACAGATCATTAGAGCTGCAATTTTAGGAGATGGGCTAGAAGAAGTTTAATCTAAAGGGCAGTCTTCTAGGGAAACACATCATTGCCTTTTGGGAAAAAGAGACCACCAATATAATCCTTAAAGCAATAAGAGTCAACATCAGATCGCTCCAAGTTCCTTAACTTCCATCCAATAAATTAATCCTGTATTTACATTGCCTGGCAAAAACAAAACTTAATTAATTTTTGTTTTGTTTACCCCTCCCCCAAGACTTTCTCATTTTTCTGGCTTTGATTTCTGATAAACATTTAGGAGGAAAAGGGATTTGATACCTACTTTAAAGTTTAAAAATACAAGACCCCAAAGGAGGCAGCAGCTGGGTGAAGAAAATGCAGGTAACTTAGAATAATAACTACAGTAGTGGCTAGCAGCCATCACTGGTACTTATGGTGTGCCAAGCACAGCCATCAGCGCCTTATAGGCACTGCTTCACCAGCAGAGGAAAAGGGGAATGAAAACACGGGGTTCTTTTGCCTGAACTATAATTTGTATGCCTTTCACTCCTGTTCATATCTCCTACCTCCTCCTTGCAACAACCCCACAAGAAGCTTTGACCACCATCATCCCAAATATATATTGGTGCTCAAGATATATTTGTTGATTTTGCTGAGTTGTCCCTCTTTGTAGATGAGGAAATGGGAGGCCCAGGCCATCACTCAGCTGCTGAAGTAAGGTCTCCAAGCTTGCCTCCCCTACTCCCTATCCTGGCTGCCTTTGATGCTTCACACCAACCTCTCCTTCCAACCCCTCCCATTTTACTCCCTCCAAACAAGAGACATGCCCAGCAAGACCCCACTCACTCTCTGCTTCTACATTTGTGTTGTACTTACAAAAAACCAGTTATATCTGTTCCTGTTTGTGCCAGAGGTACATATAATTATATAATTTAATTAACTATTACGTAAACGAAGAAAATAGTAACGTGAAAAGAACCATCTCCATGAAAACTAAGTTGAATGCTTTAGAACGATTCAATCAAGGAAAGCTGATAATTAAAGGGTTGTTAAATTAAGACTGGGGAGGGGAAGTGGGTCATAAAAAATCCAGAATTCTCCCTCTGGATTGTTTCCAAGGGGCATTTAAAAACCTCACTCCACTTTAAAGAAACTGAAACCAAAAATCGAAACCAAGGTCAATGTATGAAGGGTAGGCAAGGAAAACAATACAGAACTCTAATCAGTGTTTCATGCTTAAAAGAAAGGTTCGGGAGAAAAAAGAGAGAGAGAAAGATGAGAGTGAAGAAATGCACATTAACATCTTTAACTTGAATAAAATGCTTAAGGTATTCATCATTTTGGGTAACTCTCCACATCAACCAACTTTAATGGTCTCTGGCAAATCAGATGGGCGGGCAGGCGGCAAAAGAACTGGCCCTTACAAAGGAGTCACACCATTTATGATGTGTACCCACAGATAGAGTGATCAGACACCCCAAGAATAACTGCCAGGTGTGAAGTTTCTGGTGACCCACCCTTAAAGAAGAGAACAGGAAAAGACAAAAGGGACAAAACCAATTGTCGCATCGACCCAATTCACGGTACCCCATGTGCAGCAGAGGAGAAGACCTGTGCTCTTTAAGGGTTCCTACGGCAGATTTTTTGGAAGCAGGTCATCAGGGCTTTCTTCTGCAGTACCTCTGGGTAGATTTGAACCTCCAACCTTTCAGTTAGCAATAAGAGCCAAGGGATACAGCGTTGACAAAGTCGTGACTCAAAAAGGACAAGCCTGCCACACCCTGGGTGGTGGTGGCAGCACCACCGGTCATGTCCAGGCCCCTGCCCTCTGCCCACCTTTTCTTTTCCTCCAGGGCCTGGCAGCACCAGAGCTGGAGCTGGAATGGGCTAAGTCCAAATCAGCCCCACATGACTAAGTCATTAATAGGTATTTTGTTCTAAGTCCAGGACTAAACATCTCTTCTAGCTGTGAGCTCATCACCTCGTTTAGGGCTGGAAAAATTGCCTTGATTTTTTTCCCCAGGTTGCAGGAGGGCCATCAGACAACCATCCTGTTTCCTCTTTATTTAATATCTTCTTTTCTTTTCACAGAAAAATGTCTACCATAGCCATTCAGAGCCCAGGCTCTGGAGGCAAAATGACCCAGGTTCTAATGCCCTCTTCCAAGTAATCACTGGACGATTCTGGACAAGTGGTTTAACCTCTATGAGCCTCCATTTCTGAATCACAGACTATCACTTAGCACAGTGTTGTTTTAAGGATTAAATGAGATACAGTGGGGCCAAGAGCTTATCTTGGTGCCTGGCACAAAGTAAGGTAATCAACAGCAGCTATAATTATAATTACAGACTCATCATAGGAAATCCAGAAAACACAGGAGGGAGGGTCCTCTCTGCACACATCCCTCATCCCTGGCAGAGGCTCTTCCCTGACAAGGGAGGTGGTCCTCTCTGTACATGCCCCTTATTCCTGTCAGAGGATCTACCCCAACACAGGAGGGGGGTGCTCTTTGCACGCTCCCCTCACTCCTGTCAGATGGTCTACCCCGACACAGGAGGGGGGTCTTCTCTGCACATGCCCCCCCATTCCTGTCAGAGGGTCTACCCCGACACAGGAGGGGGGTCTTCTCTGCACATGCCCCCCCATTCCTGTCAGAGGGTCTACCCCGACACAGGAGGGGGGTCTTCTCTGCACATGCCCCCCATTGCTGTCAGAGGGTCTACCCCGACTGCACAGTCACACAGCCCAGCCTGTGCCCCACAGATCCTTACAGCCTTTCCAGCTCCTTCATGTCATCGAAAGCGCCCCGCTCCACCACTCCGATCTGGTTCTCCATCAACTGCCTGGGGAAAACAAGACAGGATGGTTACAGAGGGTTGGACCAGGACTCCTAGAAGTAGCTGGCATGAGGGAAGAGCAGAGGCAAATACTTCCAGGGCCACGTTGGCGAGGGATGAAGCAGGAGAGGGTGAGGACTCCTACAGACTCCCTCATCCCAGTCTGAGAGGACAACATTTCCTCATAATTTTACCAGTTCTCCAACACTGTCTCCTCAGCACCCACCCCTGACAGCAAAATGTTCCTCTAGCCCTGGTGTCCCCTGACCCTCCCTTAGGCTGTGTGTCAGGTAGAAGGTCACAGGATACGAGTATCATGGCTCCAAAGGCATGCTCTGGGAAGCCCATGTCCACAGCAGGCAGCCCTCCCAAGCCCAGAGGGCTCATATCCAAAGGACAGAGCAGGGGGACACTGACCACTACTAGGGAAGGGAGCAGGTGCCAATTGAGCAGAGCCCACCCATGCAGCAAATACACTCTACAGTTGACAGACAGCACCCCTTCTGCCTGCACCCCCACTCTGCCTCAGACACAAGCAGGGTGCCACATCAATGGAACCACCTGGCTCCATGAGAGTCTGCAGCTCCTCACAGCCAACGTGCCCTGAAACCCAGCATCTAGGGCAGCGTTTTTCCACTCAATTCCAAAATAGATCATTTTTGAGAAAGTCTATTTTCCCCCTTCCCTTTTCCCGTTCAAGCATGTTCTTTCACTTGGGCCTAAGACAAGGTCTGGGCAAGGCAGGAGACAGCAGCTGCCACAAGATACTTCTCTTCCTTTGCTTTGTTTTCAGAACCCTGGGCTGTTGAGGAGCTTCTGTTGGAGGACTAGGGGGAGAGGTATGAGGGAGTCACCTGGGGGGAGGGGGGAATTCTCCTAGACCCAGAAGAGATCCCCTAGGAAGGGTCAGAAGTCAGGATTCTGGAGCAGACCCATGCCCAGTGACTTGGCAGCACTGACCTCCAAAAGGCTTGGCCAAAAAGTCCCCCATTCCTCCAAAGACAAGCAGACTCCATACATGCAAAGCCAGTCATTCTGAAAGAACTGAGGGTCCCTAGAGCCCCAACACAACCCCTGAAGTAGAGGGTGAGGGACTTCCCAGTTGTCTGATGTTAAACTTCCTGTCAGCTGAGTGGGACAGAGGCTCAAAGTCAAAGCTGAGTTGATGCAAAGGAAATAAAGAAATGTGATTCTTCCCTGATCCTGCACTAAAATGCATGCATGCAGCTGCCCTGCACCCATGATCAGCAGAGCAGGGGGTATGGGAGGCCCAACCCCTTCCACTTGCTCCTCACCCACTCTGCCCAACCAAACAAGACAAGTGCCCATTTGCTGCCAAGCAGCCGAACGCAACAGAGCTGTGCCCATCGCCCTTAATATTTGTCACTGTCAAGCACCCAGGGGGAGTCACTTCTATCATCAACTGCCCAAAGTTAGAGGATTACGGCCTTACTAGGGAGTCTTTCTGAGGCTCCAGTTCAAAAGAACTCTGGAGGTCCAAAGATGCCTTGTGGCCACCTGGTCTTCCCTTGCCCCCAGGAAATAGCCAATGAATGGACTCTGGGTGAGAACTCACTATCAACTCTGCCTCACTTCCCCCCAACCTTCCAGAGTATCCCAAGACTGACTCCACAAGGCAGGGACCCTGCCAGCCTACAGCCCCCACCAGGGCTCTGTGTAAATCCACAAGGAGATGGAGCAGAAGGGAGCTGAGGAGCACACACAGCAGCAAATACTCACAGCACCCGCAGCTGCTTGAGCCCCGCAAAGTCGTTCTTATGGATCCGAGTGATGTTGTTGCCATTAAGTTCCCTGGTGGAGGAAAAGACAGAAGGAAGGTGTGAGATGATCAGGGTGGTCCCCAGGCCAAGGACTCAGTTTTCAGGGTCCCTCGCCATCTGACTCAAGTCAGATGTCTCAGAAAAGGGCTTCCCAGACAAGCCACCAAAGCCTCGAGTCTGTGTTGAGAGACCCAACAAGTCACCATTTCTTTGCAGTACATGTTCAACCAACAGGGGGCATGGAGCTTGTTTCTGGGAGAAACATGGCTTTTGCCTGAAAGAGCTCAGACTAGTTTGGAAACTAGCCAATTAGAGAAGTTGTTTAGGTAGAATCCTCTTGGAACTGTGTCTGCCTCAGAGGGGTAGTCTGATGTTTAAACTAGTTAAAAAAGTAAAGCGCACGGCCTGAGATTGCAAAGCCTCCTGTGATACCCACACCATTGTCACCTGGGTGATACTGGCTCCTGAAAGCTGCCCACTTTCTGAGCACAGAAAGCAGGGTGGGCTGTACAGTTTAAGGGGGCTGAGGAAGTGGGACTCGAGCACAGCTGGAGTAGGAGAGCATGCTGAGTGAGGCTGGAGGATTCATATATGCTAAGTTGGGAGCCACAGAAAACAGGGCTGGGAAAGGTAGGTGCAGACCACAGAGGGCCTGAAAAAGCAAGCAGAAGAGAAATGGAGCCAGTGAAGGGTCCATGTAGGAGCCTGCCATGAGGCCAGTCCTGCAGGGTGGGCAGAGTCAAGGAAGGGAGGGCAAGCCAAATGCCCAGATGAAGCACCAGGGCCCAAAGCTACCAGGGCTCCTCCCTTCACAACATCACAGGCCTCTGGGCTTCCCCTCCCCCTCCCATCCAAAGTCACATCTGTTCCTCCTTTGGTCCTCCCCCATCATCCGTGGGACACCTTGGATATGGACTTCACTTTCGAGGCAGTCTGGCCCTACCTTCCAGCCCATCTCAGAGAAGCTCATCCAGCCTCGGCTGGGTCACTTCACAGGATGCTGCTGGCTCAGCCACAAGGCTGTTCGTCTATGAGTCAGGCACTTGACTTCTTAGAAAGCTCTTCCACTGAGTTACATACACTGGAATCTCCCAGGTCAAGCACCATCCCCAGCTGTCACCTTCAGCATCTAATCTGTCTCCCTGTGGAGGCTTCCAGTTCACACCACTCCATTTCCTCTTCTTCCTCTCCCCCGTCACCCCACCCCACCATATGCATACACCATATCCATTGGCAGCCCGCTCTTCTCACTTAGTAACTGTATATAGCTACAAGTCTAACCCAAGTCCAAGTTACTTGGAGAAACTAAGTACTGTATCTAAAAAGTGTTTAGGAATAGAATGTATGAGGGGCCTTCAGAAAGTTTGTGGAAAATTGCATTATTTTTTAATCCCATTTTTCCACACTTTTTGAAGCCCCCTCATAGGTTTGGTCTAGATGATGTACTAACGTGGTTTCCACTAGAAATAATAGCAAATGTTATCAGCTTCCATATACTCCAGACAACACTGAAAGTACTTACCATGCCCAGTTGAGAGGTAAGCTAATCTGGCTCACAGAGGTAATGTGCCTTCCCAAGGTTGCCAGCAGGTAAATGACACAGTAGGAATCTGAACCCAAAGCTGCCTGACCCTGATGACCACATTGGTCACCAATGAGACGAAATGAAGGGAAAAACAGCAATGAAGCTGTGAGCTAAGTCCGATCACGTTCAATAGTCTCCTATAAACCTAGGTGGAGACCTGGCTGGCCAGCAGTATGGCAAGACCTGGGGACTCCTGGGCCCAGAATCAGTGAAATAGCCACAGAGGACTAGAGTGGAGAGTGAAGTGTCCAGCTGGTAATAAATGAGGGCATATGCATAAGAACACCCACACTTGCAGATAATACCCACTTCACCTGGCTTCAGTGGCTGAATGATCAGAATACAACTAGAAGAAGAAAGAAGAAAAAAAAAAGTAATCTGATACAATTTGATGAACTTGAGCTAAACCTATGGATGCAGTAGCTCAAAAGAGGAAACAAATCTTTACAGCGAGGATCATTCCCATCCCCAGGTACACAGGGTAGACAGGGATGGGCAACTTGGACACTGGCTACCCAAAATTGGGGTGCTACAAAGGCTTACAAGTGACTGGCTTACAGCTTTCAAGAGGTAGCCTAGATCCAGAGAGTGCAGAGGACAGTAGAATCTCCACTGAGTAGTATCCAATTTGTCTGAGCAGAGTTGATGAAAGGAGATGGGGATAGGACTCTTGTGGTATAATAGTGAATAATTGTTATCAAGACTGACTGTGAGGGTTGAAAACTTAAAGACACATGTTTTGTAACAAAAGGAGAGGAGTGGCTGATCTTGCAGTCCAGAAGCAGAGGTCCCTGGGACCATCAAGGAAGAAGAGTAGAGTGCAAGACCCTACCCAGAGACACAGTGATGCCAGAGATGGAGGCAGAGATGATGATGTGGAAACATGGAGCAGCTGGGGACTCTAGACCCAGAGAGGGAGAGGGCTGTGTGCTGACAACCAAAGGGTAGGCTTGCGGGGTATACCCTTTGGTTGTTTGATGATACATGGAGGGGACTGTAATCATGGCAATGAAACGATATACAATAGGATGAATGTAAAGCTAATGTTCTCCCATGTAAACTATCACATAATTCACAATAAAACACTTAAAAAAGAAAAAAGCTGCCTGACCCTCGAGCCCAGGTGTTTTCTACCAGGTCATACTGCCTCTCCAAGTTGACGGGTCCATAATTCACCAATCATTGCTCTCCCTGCCCCTCCCATGGGCCTGAATTCTGATTCTTGGGAACAGCTGGAAAAACATCTATGCTTCTCCTCTCCTTTCTAACAGGCTCTTTCCAAGGGGCTGCGGGTCTCTCCACACTATGTAACTATTGGCAAGAGCCTCAGGCTGGACCACATCCTTACCCTGGATGCAGAAAGGACCCCTTCCCATTGTGAGACAGCTTTTTTCAATGTAAAAGTCTCTTTCAATTAAATGAAATATTCTTCTCTGAAACCACCACCACAGGACCTCACTTACGCTGCACCCCTATCTGCTCCTTCTGCAAACACTCAAGAACATCGTTATGAAATCCTTTAAAATGAGTCCCCTTAACAGGCAGGCCTCAAGAAGCTTCCTGCGAGCATTTGCATTGCTTAAGACCATAGGTGGAATCCTGGTCTCCATCTAGAATCTTCTGAGTTGGAAATTTCCACTTAAATGGACAAGCAGACCAGCCGGGAATGTCTAGAAGAACAAAAGATACTTCTTGAAAGATAGATCAGCAGGAAAAATCAAAAACAATAATGGCAGTCTGATTGACTACTACAAGAACAAGCAAGTTGTTCGCTTGGGAGTCATCAAGGCAAGCGGTCAAGTCCCCTCATGGCAAACCCCCTTCCAAGACTGAGACTCAAGGGGAATACACAAACAGGCATATGGTCTTGCTGGCGACCACGTTGATCAACCAATAAGGGGAAGTGGGGGGAAAAACAGCAATGAAGTTGTGAGCTAAGTCCGACCATGTTCAGTAGACTCCTGTCAACCTGGGTTAAGACCTGGTTGGCCAGCAGTATGGCGAGACCTGGGGACTCCTGGACCCAGGGACATGACCACAGAGGACTAGAGTGGAGAGTGAAGTGTCCAGCTGATATGAAGTGAGGGGAGATGCACAAGAACACCCATATTTGCAGATAGTACCCACTTGACCTGGCTTCAATGGCTTGATGATCAGAACTCAACTAGAGGAAGAAAGAAGAAGGAAAAAAAAAAGAGTAATCTGCTACAATTTTATGAACTTGACCTATACTTATGGATGTAGTAGCTCAAAAGAAGGAATGAATCTTTACTGAGAGGATCATTCTCACCCCCTCGATACATAGGGTTGAGAGGGATGGGAAACTTAAACATTAGCTACCCACAATGGGGGAGCTACAAAGGCCTGAAATGACTGGCTTACCAGCTTTCAAATGGGAGCCTAGCTCCAGAGGGTGCTGGGGGAAGGTAGAATCTCCACTGAGTGGTTTCCAACCTGTCTGGATGGAGCTGATGAAAGGAGATAGGGATAAGACTCTTGTGGTTCAATAGTGAATTGCTATCAGGACTGTCAGTGTTGCAAATATAAAGGTAGACATTTTGTAACAAAAGGAGGAGAGTGGTTGATCTTGCAGTCCAGGAGTGGAGGACCCTGGGACCATCAAGGGAGAAGAGTGGAGTGAGGGACACTGCCCAGGGAAGCAGCAACGCCAGAAATAGAAGCAGAGACTATGACGTGGAGAGATGGTGCGACTGGGGACTCTGGACTCAGGGAGGGAGAGGGTTTGTGTGATAGTGACCGGGGGGCAGGCTTATGGGGTATGCCCTTTGTTGTTTGAATGGTTATATATTCCCGAATGCTTCAGTGTACATAAAAACAAAACAAAAAAAAAAACAGAGAGAATGAAAGCAAATACTGTCAAATGATTAGGATGAATGTAAAGCTGATGTTCTCCCATGTAAACTATCACTCAATTCATAATTAAAACTTAATTAAAAAAAAAAAAGTTCATCCCCAAACCTCAAACTAAAAGGAATTTTTGGTTGTTTGGGGTTTTTTGTTTTTTGTTTTCATTATAAAAATATTCCAGCACTGATTATAGGAGCAAAAATGTTTATCAACTTTGGTGCATATCACCAGAACATCATTTGGAAGCATATCTGTGAGAATGAATGCTATACAGCCCTTTACACTGGTAACAAACGAAAGAAATCAAACCCATTGCCATTGATTTGGTTCCGACTCATAGCCACCTATATAGTGTTTCCAAAGCTATAAATTACAGGAGCAGAAAGACTTATCATTCTCAAATGGGATGACTGGTGGGTTTGGAATGGCTAGTGGGTTTGAACTGCCAACCTTGTGGTTAGCAGTCCACTGCTTATCCTACAGCACCACCAGGTTCATTGCACTGGTATATATCTGGCTTTATTGATAAGGAAAGCTGCCCATGATACATTCTGAGGAACAAGGGCTACAAGACCATC